CGTAAATTTTACGTTTTTCATATGTAGATCGGTTTGAAAGATCTAATTTCAATCCACATACAACTCTAATAAGTAGTATAGGCTTTGGAAGTAAATTCCACTTTATTTTCATGTAGCATCTAAGTGAAAATTACTCAAAGTGAAAAGATCTTTGCCCAATCCACTAGAAAGCAACGTGGTGACGTGACTCTCTGTGCAAATCAAATGGAGAGTCACGTCACCACGACGTGACTTTTCTCACTTCACTAGTGACAAAAGTCACTTCGACTCTCGGAATAACCATCAGATTTTATGGTACTTTCTAAGTAAATTGTATTATGTTTTCACTTAAATTTTAGTAAATTTTTTCGTACCATCATCCATTGTTAGGAATTTTAAAATCATTTTATTGAAATAGTAAAAATTTTATTGTTCAGAAAGCTGATCATATATATATTATGTGTTCCAGCAACCTCCGGCCATCTACACTTCCTCTGCCAATCTTTTGGGTGAGATCATTCCTCGTCCGTCGATTCCTCGTTCTAAAAACATACCACAAACAAATGGTGTATCATGACAAAAATAAAGCATCATACTTATCAGAAAATTCAACAAATCCTAGTATTTGTGAATCCAGCAACAACTCTTCAGCAATGTACCGTTCGGACGCCATGTTGGTTTTGTTTGTGACATCACCACTCAGAAATTTTCACACTATAAATTCATGTAGAATCTAAGTGAAATTATCTTACATGAAATTCACTTGAAAGTTATATACATTCATCTAAGTTTCAAAGCTTATTACATTGCTGTTAATACGATTTGTAATGAATTTTATTAACGTCATGTACTTTACAGACAATTTTTAATATCTGAAGGTTACGTGTTTTTTCCAGTGAAATTTATGTGACAATTTTTTTGAGTGTAGCTGGCTGGGATGAATAAGGATATCGAAGACTTCGGAAAAACCTGTACAACATGCAACGATACAACAGCACATTCAAGAAAACCTCCTTATTCCAAATGGATTCCTACCAACAAACCATTTAGCAGAATTCACGCTGATTTTTTTTCCATTTTGATAAAAAAAAATTTCTAGTAGTAGTAGACAGTTTTCTAGTAGTAGTAAACAGACCTCCTTTTAATTCTGAAATTTTCATTAGGTTTTTCCAAAAACAAGGCATTATTGTGATGAAAAGTCCACCGTATCAACCTGAAACTGAACCTGAAAATAACCTTCTGAGCGTATGTTGTCATACAAGCCCAAAGATTTGGATAGACTTGCTCAATACAAAACATAATTTTAAGAAAAAAAACTAATGAAATACGTAATGATGATCACCAAAGAAGTATTGATAGTAGTATTTCAGGTAATATATCTGACCTTTGAAATACGGAGATCCGATAAATTATAAAAATAATAATCCAACTGATATTCGAGAATGGTTACCAGCAAAATTTCTAAAGCGGATCTCTACGAATATTTCACAGGTTTCTTTTGGAGGCAGAGTTGTTTCAGCGCACAATCGCCAGCTTAAAGTTGTGCCAACATCTCGCCGGAAAGTTCCGAGAGCTTTCATTTTCCAAGAAGAGTGCTTCGTTGCCGGTTGTGGAACATTTACATACCGCACCGCCAGCAAAGCCCAGAAGTGAACGGAGGAGAAACGATGACGATGATGATTTTCCGAATGCTCTAGACTCTAGTTCTGATTTTTATGGATTCGCGTCTTTTTGCTTGAGATGTTATGCCTCACTGGGATTGAACCCAGGCCTGCTAGGGGTGAGAGGTAATCACGCTTACCACTACACCACCGACACCGCTGATGGATTCGCGTCTGAATCTTTCATTTTTTCGGGGGAGGAAATCACCCCAGCAAGCAATCATCAGAGTGCATCCACCTGAAGAAATTCGTCGTTCGAGAAGAAAGTGTAAGAAGAAGAAGAAAGAAGATTTTCAATACTATTAGATTAGTTGTCGAGGATTTACATTTGTCGGTAGTTAATTTGAAATGTTTTCCTGTGAGATTTTGCAATATTTATTGGATTTTGCGCTCTGAATTCTTGTAGTTCTAAGCTTCATTTGAATTTTTATTTATTTCGAATAATTTGAATTTTAACTTAAGGGTAGAGGAGCTGTAGCGCTCTAGTTGGCAATACCGTTTTGATAATCGATAGATCGGTAAAATAAACAGTCACCTTAGGCTGTGAACCATTTGCCGAGTTAGATTTAACTCGTGGTTAAAAGTGACATTTCGAAAGCTATTTTCTATGTTCGAAAATCCCTGTGCTGTCGATCGAACGGTTTTCGAGAAGAACTTAGCCAAGGTTGTCAAAATTTAACTTCTTGTCTGTCAGAAGTAACCACGCTCGGATAGCAGGGTTAATAGATAACTTTCCATCTGTCAAATTTTAACCAAAAGTTAAAATAATCCACCAAATGGTTCAGAGCCTAACTTCTAGTCTGTCAGAAATAACCACGCTCAGATAGCAGGGTTAATCAAAAACTTTCCATCCGTCAAACGCGAACCAAAGTACACCACAGTTCAGTAGATGAACAAAAGCTCACCCGTGCACTCGTCTATAGTTGCCCCTACCCGATGATGTTGTTGGTTTGCGTGAGCGTACTTTGGTTCGCGTGTAAAGGGCCTTAGAAAGTTTGTTTACAAATGCTTTTGTGCCGTTATCAAATGTTATGCCTGAAATGACAATGCGAAACGAGAGCTTAGCTCGGAAAAGTGTTTTAACAGAATAGGTGGAATAAACTAAAGTCGTTATATTGATAGTATGGCGGATAAAATCTCGGGAACCAATTGTGCTGACAAATAGCGGAACCAATCGAGTAAATCACGACCAACAACAGAAAAGAGCACATCAGCTATTGCGAACAAAATTTCGGAAACCGTTTTCTCGTGATTAAAGGCTCACCTACACAAACTAACGCCATCTTTGGGTTGTGGAAAGTTTCCCTTATCTGATGATGCTGGTAATTTACCTTCGATTGTCGAGGAAAGAATAATCAACGTTTTGTTTATGAAAGATAGTACCTTTTCAATTGTTGGTCTACAATAGTCTACAATATATTGAAATGGTTCCGCATTTTGATAGATCGAAATTCTATCCGCCTATCTATGAATATAGCGACTATAGAATAAACTAGTTAGGGGCTGTTCATAAACTACGTAGACAGTTTAGGGGGGGGGGACAATTATCCACGGCCCATACAAATTTTGAAAAAAAAATTGTGTAGACAATTGTCTACGGAGGGGGGGGGGTCAAGAATCCCAAAAAACCGTCTACGTAGTTAATGAACAGCCCCTTAGTAGTACTTTGACTGAAGACGAACCAAGACGTGTTTTTTTATAACTCACCACTCCACCGACTCAATACTAATTATATCAGGTGATTTTAACAACTGTGCCTTGCATGATTTCTTGACCACCATATTTTTTTTTATGGTTATTTTGCTAAACGACGTGTTATGGGCAGAACTGGTAAATATCACGGCCGTCATGTGACAATGAGAAAACGGATCCTCTCACTATCACGAGACGAAGCTACATATCATTGAATTTCTTGTCATTTTCCATCAACGGTTTTGACATCAACATTTCTAACTGATTTGGATAAATTTAAGCAAGCAACCGTATGTAATCGGTAGAGTGAATATATTATAAAGATTTTCTAGGTACTAGTAACATTGATAGCCATAAATGAACTAATAATTACGATGATCACAACACTGTCACGTTCTGTCATGGCAAAAATTTCGATGAGATTTTAAAGAAAATCTCTATCATCGTTTTCTCATCCGATGATAGTGACAGAAGTATATCTGTAAATATCGCGTGAGATCTTTCATTGAAAATGACATTTGCCAGCCCTGGTTATGGGTATCTTTTGTAGAATATTTCTACCATTTAAGCTATCATTCATTTATGGTATTTGTTTATTAGGGCAGGAATTATTTGTTAAACCTCCAATTGAAAATAAACACCATTAGGTACCCGGGAAAAGCATCCCCCAGGGGTGCATTATGGGCTGTTAGTTCTCCCCTATTTGTTACAGCTGTGACCTTCACTTGAACCCAGACCCCCTAGCAGATCGTGCCGCCATGGCACCCAAACGCAAAAAAATGGGTAATCTCTTGATCTCCCTTTTGATGAAATTCATTTGAGCAATCAATTTGATATGCTCACGGATGATGAGAATGATCCATCATCAAGTCAAAAGTTGAACAAACTTTCTCGGCTTAAGGCCAAGGAAATGGTCCCCTTGTTTCCAAAACCTCATCCAGTGCCGTAAGTGCCAGAGATGGGGTCACGGAACAACAACAAAAATGTACATGTCAGCTAAATGCATGAATTGTGGTGATTCATCTCACGCAAAGAACGTCTATCCTGTGAAGGAATATCCTAATAAATTTAAATGTTGAAATTGTGGTGAAAATCCCAAATCCATTTTTTGGGTATGCAAGACTCGTAATCGTCTCGTACCATGCGTCAGATAGGAAACGCTCCACGTTTCCGACTAGGTACTCCTTCAGGTTTCAGGTTCATGTTCTAATTTTTCACGGGTCAACCCCTAAATTTGTTCCGTTAGGTAAGAAAGCCATTCTCTGAATGTTTCAGTTCATTTGGTTGTAAGATGAGCTGGTGCTTTTAGTTTGAATTTTGTATTAGGAATTTGGAAAAATTCATGAAAAAATAACACTCCTACACTCTTTCGATCATAAAGAAGTTTCCTTATTCTCGATTTCATTCAGATTTTATAACCTGTAGCTCAAGAGTGCGTCATGAATCCAGTTTAGTTTTATTGAGATGTGAATGAGCTTTTGAATGTATATGAACATTTTAACCGAATTCCGTATATAAACATTTAACCAAAAGTGCCAGGCCGTGTTGCGTCAAAAACAGCTGGAACATTCAGAGAGTGATTATCTGGCCTGTGGAAAATATGAACTTTTTTTAGTGGTTATCTAGTTGATCAGTTGCATAATAGATTAACAAAAAAATAATACTTACAATGCAGATAGTTGGGATTGGCCAGACACTGCACAAACTCCAACTCAACTTGGAACCGCAGTTTCAGCGCATCTTCTGATTCAACTGGCACTGAAATGGAACACATTTTTGCATTAGTCATTGGGTGCAATGTTCAAATGAATCCGCACTAGATTGCAGATGTTCATTCAGTACTTCCACCAGATACGAGAACGATATTGAACATTTTTGTGTGCTTGTAGATCGATGAACAAATTTTACTTATTTCCATGATGCCAATGAATACATTTTGTGAATTTATTTATACTACCTTATTGGAACAATCTAGGAGGAATTTTGTCTTAATAAATGATAACACATACAGATACAGCTAATAGTGGATTTGAAAAAAAGATGTATGTAAATAGAAGGAATAAAACATATAGTACTTACATTTACCCTTCCCGACCATCTTATTTGCCATGATTCCGTATTCCTGAAGGATCCAAACCCACAGAGGATGTGTGAGGGCTCACGAACGCTTCGTTTAGGGACAGAATATTGGAGCAGTGTGTTTGTGTTTATAAAACTAGTATAGATTTGCTATTGCTACCTGCTTCCGATAGGAGTGGAGACCGGTATCCGGACAGGAAAAGACTTAGTAGCGGGAATGGAGAAACTCTAAACGAACTATTATGAAGGCGCTTCAAAAAAGATCAGCTCCTGGTTTGCTCTAACAAAACACATCAACGATTCCCCGATCTTACTCTCGAGCGCTAGAAACTGAAGCAGATAAACGAATGCAATGAACAGTGATTATTTACAACAAAAAGATATGAGAACATTGAAGGAAACAATAGCGTATGCCCGTTCTAACCAGAAAACAACAAACATAGATCTATAAATTTAGGTATCAATCAAGATAAAGCTTTAGGGTTCCAATTATTTACACCTAATTACGTTTTAACTAGCATTCTTGCTAATCTCAGTTTGAAATTTTCTGTGTAAATACATTAAACAAGGGATGCAAACACTACCGAGAGAAGGAAAACTGAAGTAGTGACCATCAGGTCAACGGTGCATAACAATATAAAAACGAATCAGTAAACCTATTTTTGAACAGATTTTTCTATTGTGCATCCAATTTGCCTATAATGTAGCTAGCCCAATAGATAAAATCCCGACATTGCCATAACAGAGAACAGCAGCACCATATGCAGTCGGAGGAGTTTATGATCCTTCTAATCCAGCTGACCGTAGAATACTACTCACAACCATAGGGATTCATCGTGGGCTGTTGGCTTTGGAAGTCGTCGTTGCAGCCGGAAGCCGGAAAAGCGGCTTTTAATGGTTATTTTCACGGAAAACAATCGGAATTTTCACTCACTCGCGAGACCGTGCAAAATTCGCTTTACTTTTTGACGCGTCGAATTTTATGCTTGACGTTTATGCATGATGACGGGAGGAAACACTACAAATGTTCACTGATAGCATAAAACATCGAAATAGTGCCCTTCAGAATCATTATAGCTTATTAAATATGTACCAAGGTTGATAAAATTGGATCCATCGACGTAATGGCGAAAAATCGGTGTGATACACGAAGAAACGAGACAAATTAAACGTTACTTCACATGAGAATCAAGCGTATACAGAGCATCACTGTTTTAAGGAGAAGCAGTGATGTCTAATAAACGCTGAATAATCATTAATTTTATCGTATAAACTCTGTTACAACTCAATATAAGTCGAATAAAAGCTTCTCGACATACCTTATTCAACACCAAATATTTCGATGTTGTGGTTGAATAAATTCTCCACATTTGTGTGAACAAAGCCTGAACAGAAGTTATTATTAAAAATAGTACAAGTACTATTAAGCATGCAGTTGAATAAAATGGCCAAGAAGTCGTTTCTTCAATAGACGATTGTTTGTTGGGAGACCACTGGGTCCCGAAGAAAATCATTATTATTTTTGGCTCACTCAGTACCAGAACAACGGTCCCAAGCAGTCCCAACATAGAGGTAACTCTAAGACCACTGGGTCCCGAAGAAAATCATTATTATTTTTGGCTCACTCAGTACCAGAACAACGGTCCCAAGCAGTCCCAAGCTATTTCACTCACCCCTGCACGTTCTGCATGAATCCACACACCCCTGATGTTATCTGTCAAACTTTCATAGCGAATCAAAACAAACATAGTGTAGTAATAGAATTTCAACTAGAATAGGGTACGTTAATCGTTTGCTTGCGACCAATAGGCTTCTAAAGTGATGAGCCAATTTAAAATCGTTAGTTTCGTATTGATTGTTGATAATATTGCCCCGTTCACGCAGGGCACTGAAGAATTGCTATTCCCACCCAGATTGCTGTAATCGTGGTAATTAAAACATAACCCTGCGCAATAAGAACAAAAAACATCGCATGATTCTGACGTTTCTATGTACTTATGTTTGTGTGAGTGAACTTTTCGTCGCTAGCGAGATTTTTCTTCCATCAGCTCCCCAGATCGCAGTTCGCAGTCTACCTTTTACGGAGATAGAGGAAAAAAAATCTTGTTTTTAGAAAGTGTTTTGTGCAATAATTTCCAGCTCAGCGCTGGTTGGTGACTAATCTTCTCGCATTAGGGCGAATCGAATGTGTCGTTACCATTTCCGGATACTTGCAGCTGTTCCTGAGGGTGCTTGATTTGCAAATTTTCAGTTTGTTTCCCTTGTGGTAAGCTCCATTAAAACAATTTTTTTTTAGTCGTTGGTTGGTCAACCGAGCCAGCGGAGTAGGGGTGATGGGATGGAGTAAACAAAGGATTTTTCTCTTGCAGTTTCAAGCATCCCACGGTCAGTCAACGAGAAACAAGCATAATTTCGCATCGTTGTTGCTACGTTTGAAGGTGGGCGCAGAGGAGAAAAAAAAAGACGGCCGAGCGCGTCGAAGGCGAACCAGATTAATTATTGTCGGAGGTGAAAAACTAGAACATCGGTCCGGAATGCCTCCGTATCGCTATCCGACGCAGAACTTCACGTACGTGAGCTCGTGCGTGAAGTATATGATATTCTTGCTGAATTTTATCTTCTGGTTGTTTGGAGGACTGTTGATCGGAATCGGATTCTATGCCTTTGTGGACAAATGGCAGGCTACCGGTTTGATAAAACTGGAAACGATCTACGACATTGTGCTGAACATTTCGCTAGTAATGATCATTTCTGGTGGGATTGTTTTCGTGGTGAGCTTTGCTGGATGTTTGGGAGCGCTACGGGAGAATACCTGCCTGCTGAAGTTCTATTCGCTCTGTCTGCTGATGTTCTTCCTGTGTGAAATGGCAGTGGCAATCGTCGGATTTGTGTTCCCTCACAAGATGAATATTGTCCTGGAGGATTCGTTTACAGACAAAATTATTACCACCTATCGAGACGATCCGGATCTACAGAATTTAATCGACTTCGCGCAGCAAGAGTTCCACTGCTGTGGATTAAGCAACGAAGGATATTTGGACTGGGGCAAGAACGAATACTTCAACTGTTCGTCGCCAAGTGTGGAAAAATGCGGCGTTCCGTACAGTTGCTGCATCAATGCCACCGATATCTCCTCCGGCCTGGTAAACATCATGTGCGGCTACCATATCCAACAGCAATCGGTAGCCGCCGCGAGTAAAAAGATTTGGACCAGCGGTTGCATCGAGATCGTGCGTGTCTGGGCCGAACGGAATCTCTATCTGATAGCAGGCATAGCGCTCGGAGCAGCCCTCAGTCAGCTGTTTGTGATTTACCTCGCCAAAACACTGGAAGGTCAGATCGATCTGCAGAAAAGTCGTTGGTCGTCGTGAGCTTACGTGGGCTGGGGCGGTGGACGAGCGGTTTAAGCGCGCGCGTGCGCAAGACGATAATGAATGGTAAGTTTTCGTTTTGTGCTTTTAATTCGATTCCCCGACCTGCCGCGAACATGAATGTGCAGCACAGCAACATGAATGTGTACCATTGCACAACAGCAACAACAATAACATTAAAGGCAGTGTGGCGTTGAAACGGCACGGGGCTGTGAAAACTGTTTCATCAGGGCGCGCATTTGATATTGTGGGGGTCTGTTTTCTATGAACATAGGCAAACTAATTTCAGTGACTCGATTGCAATTTTGCTCTCCAATTGTCGTGTGCTGTGCACTAATGTGGTGGATTGATTTCAGTGGGAAATGCTGCTTTTATTGCGATAGTAAATGTGGGAAGACATCTTAAGCATTCTTGAATTGGGATTTCTTTATACTTTTAGAGCACTTTTAGGAACTGTTTTTTTTTTCTCGGAATGTTCAATCAGGAAAAACCGGGAATCATCAGGAAATTTGTGGTATAGTTGTCCCATTTGTTAAAACAGCAAGCTGAGAAAAACGCTGTTGAAAAAAAAATTCTCCATGGGCTCAGGGATGGGACAATATAGTTTTGGTAATTTTCGCGACACTTTCTGAACAAAGTAGGAAACTTTTCGAGTATACTGTAAAGTGATGGTACTTGACAATCGATTTCAATATATAACTCGTTTTCTCCAAAAATTTTAATGGGACTGTTATGCCGCACAGGGCAGTAAATCAATTCAACCTTCCTCAATATTTTGCCTTGGTCTACTTGGTGTACGGTTTTTTTTTTTCATGTTTCGTAATATTTTTTAATTTTCTCGATCAAAGCTGACGATCTACTTTATGTGCAGAGAAGCAAACATCGAGTCAAATTTTCAGATCTGTACAGTTTGAGGGGCCATACATTAATTATGTCGCGCTAAATTGAGGGATCATTTACCAAACCCCCCCCCCCCTCCCCCCACCTTTCGTCACGTTTCTCCTATAAGTTGGGTGTACCAGTTATGGCTATACGTTCCTATTATGGTGTGTTCCAATTATGCCCTATGGGAATTCCCTAAATAATGCATTGCTTGTCACAAAATATTACATCGCCCCTCCCCCATTAGAGCGTGACATAATAGATGCTTTACATCTGAGATATGTGACCCAGAAAACGCGAATTGGTAGAGATTATAAGTCTGGGGGTGAGTGTGTTAGCTTCTATCTAGATCGCCACCGGACGCTGATCATGAGTTGATTTGGTGAGTGCGTTCCTGTTGAGGGATATTCTTATGTTATTTTTCATTGCTGTTGATTCGCGTTTACTACGTTTGGTGTGTTGCCCGTTTTGCGTTAGGGTGCGAGCGTCAAGATTTTGTTTGTGTTTAAGCATGATTCGTTTTCGAGGAGAGGATGAGTGTCACGATCGCGTTCGAAAATTTGGTGATAGCCGTCGCCGGTACGTAGAAAATCGCTAGTGTGAGAGTAATCGGTCGAAATTGCGAAAAAAAAAATTGGTTTGCTCGGTAATATATGATGTATGCATGATGCGGGACCTTATTCCATTTGCATAGCTTCATGCCGGCGGTTTGTTGTAATGTAAAGAGCTCGGTTGTATAGTTCAATCATTTTTGCTTACTGAGCAGAAGATCAAAGGTTTCATCCCAGTTTATAGGGTCGCATCGTTTGCCTACCAGGCAAAAATGCTATTTAATATCAACATGAAGCTTTATGGTGATAATTATATTAGCTAGTGAAAGTTCGGAAGTGGGTACGTTGATAGTTCCAGTTGGTACGACCAAATAAAAAGGCGCTGCACTGTTATTGAACAGCGTTTTATTTCTTTTAGGATCGCTTCAAACTAGAAATTTAAGTTAGGGTTACTTTAGCAATGTAGGTTTAGATTTATAGGTTACCACTTACAAATAAGTGGCCCTTCCTTCACAGGCCTTTTCACTGGCTGTCCAACTTAGCTTTAGTCTTAGTTTTAGTTGTAGTCTAGGTAGAAATTAATGTTAGGTTTAAATTCACACTCAAGATTTTTGGATTATTTACCGTACGCAACAATAGCAAACTAGATTAATAACTATTTAGGCACTAGTTTGAGAAAAAATAATTTTCATCCGCGTGATTCTTCGTCTGCTTGACTCACCACCAGCTTCGTGAGCAGATCAACGAAGAAATATCAGCAACGTTCACCAGTGCCAACACGAAGTGGACCTTCATTCCGCACATGGGCGGTGCATGGGAGCGACTCGTCTGTTCAGTAAAGACGGCTATAGGGGATGCGTACCGCGAAGGAAGACTCAACGATCAAGAACTGCTGACCGCAGGGTGGCCCTGGCCAGCGAACCGGGAATACCGGGAAATATCCGGGAATTTGAAAAGTAACCGGGAAAACCCGGGAATGCGACGAGAGAACCGGGAAAAATAAATTTGCCATACCATAGGAACAAATTTGTATACCATAATTTCAGAATAAACCATTAAAACAGAGTGATTCTTTACTGTTCCATCCAAGTAATCACGATGTTCCATTCAAGTAATCGCAGCAACCTACAGCTGCGACCGAGATGGAAAAATTAGTGATTCGAAGTGTAGATGTCAACCTGAATAAACGTATAGTTAGAAGCACTCAAACTTTCTTTATTCTTTGAGAAGAACACTTCAGTTGGCGACGAGGATTTTTCTGGAAGCTCACAAGTTCAAGAAATTCCAGAATCGAACCGAGGAAGGATGGCGGCGACAAACGAAGAACTCCAAGCAGCGATTTTGCAGCTTCTCCAGCGGTTGGCCGTTCCACAAGCAACGAACCCAGAGCAAGTTTTGGAATCCCTATCGACGAACATCAGCGAGTTCTGCTTCGATCCGGAGACCGGCACCACATTCGAAAAATGGTTTGCCTGTTACTCGGATTTGTTTGAAAGCGACGCACGAAGTCTGGACGACGCAGCAAAAGTTAGGCTTCTGATCCGGAAGTTGGACACGTCCTCTCACAGTCGCTACGTCAACTACATCCTTCCGAAACTACCAAAGGACGTCACGTTTGCCGATACCGTCAAGACACTCACAAAGATCTTCGGCAGACAGACCTCCGTATTCCACAAACGCTACCAGTGCATGCAGCTACTCAAGTCTGAGGCCGACGACATAATCACCTATGGCGGAAAAGTCAACAGGGCATGTGAAGAGTTCGAGTTCCAGAATTTGAAGATTGATCACTTCAAGTGCTTGATTTTCGTCTGTGGTCTCAAAGCACCACGCTGCGCGGACATTCGAGCAAGGCTTCTATCCCGGATTGAAGGTAAAACGGCTGATGCTCCGGTGACAATTCAAACTCTGATCGACGAGTTCCAGTGGCTCGTCAACATCAAGTCGGACACTACGATGATCGAACATCCATCAAGTTCGAAGAATTCGGTCCATAGCATTTCGGAGAAGAAACCTGGAAACCAGCATCGTCCACTGAAAACGGGAAGTCTTCAAGCGACTCTTCAACTCAACCTCGAGCGAAGAAGCAGTTCCAGAAGAAGGCCGGTTCCAGATCTCAAGCCAAGGGATTTTTCGTGATGCACATCGCAAACAGCAACCGGAAACGCAAGTATGTGACCATCAACATCAACGGTGTCATGACTTCGCTACAACTGGATTCTGCAAGTGATATCACGGTGATTTCCAAGAAAACTTGGTAGCAACTGAGACGACCAAAGCTAACTCCATCATCGATCGAAGCCTCCAACGCATCTGGTGGACCACTCGCTCTCATCGGAGAATTCCATTGTGAAGCAGTCCTCAATGACATAGTCAAGCGTGGTCAGTGTTTCGTAACGTCATCACCAGTTCTCAACGTAATGGGTATTGATTGGATCGACATGTTCAACCTGTGGTCGGTTCCGTTCGATACTCTCTGCAATCAAGTTTCTGCTGTATCCAGACCATGTTTCGCCGAAGCTAGAGCACAGCTGCAAGCCGAGCATCCGGCGGCTTTCGACGACTCGCTGGGCCACTGCAAGAAAACCAAGGTAAAGTTATTCCTCAAACCTAACGCCAAACCAGTTTTCTGTTCGAAGCTAGAGCTGGTGGATGCAGAATTAACACGTCTTCAGTCTCTGGGAATCATAACGCCGATCGATTTCTCAGAGTGGGCCGCTCCGATTGTAGCAGTACACAAGCCGAATGGTAAAGTTCACATCTGTGCGGACTACTCCACGGGACTCAATGAAGCGCTTGAAGCAAACCACTATCCTCTACCTACCCCGGAGGAGATCGTCGCACAGCTCAACGAAAGCACCATATTCAGCATCATCGACCTTTTCGATGCATACCTGCAAGTGGAAGTAGATGAAGAATCGAAGAAACTCCTCACCATAAACACGCATCGAGGCCTCTTCCAATTCAACCGACTCGCTCCAGGGGTGAAGTCAGCGCCTGGAACATTCCAAAGACTGGTTGACAGCATGATAGCCGACATTCCTGGTGTTCGGTCGTTTCTCGACGACGCTATCATCTTCGGAAGAACCTGGGAGGAACACAAGGCGTCACTAGACAAGCTACTACAACGTCTAGGGGAAAATGGGTTCCATGTCAAGCTGGAAAAGTGCCATTTCTTAGAAACCGAAATCAGATATTTGGGGCATATCGTCGATCGAAACGGCATCCGTCCGGATCCAGAGAAGCTTCAAGCCATCGCCTCTATTCCGGCACCCACCAATGTTTCCGAAGTGCGATCGTTCCTGGGAACCGTTAATTTCTACGGCAGATTTGTGCGCAACAGCCATGAACTTCGTCATCCTCTCGACCAATTACTCAAAAAGGATTCGAATTGGCAGTGGAATTCCGATTGCCAACGGTCTTTTGAGCAATTCAAGCAAGTCCTGCAGTCCGATATGTTGCTGACGCATTTCGACCCGAAGTTACCAATCATCGTAGCAGCGGACGCCTCCAGCACGGACATCGGTGCAGTCATCTTCCATGAATTTTCGAATGGACATCTGAAGGCAATCCAGCACGCATCAAGATCCCTCACTCCAGCGGAGAAAGGTTACGGGCAGCCGGAAAAGGAAG